GTTAGCATCTGTCGTTGGATAATGATGGTAATTTCACATATTTCGTCCCTCTGAATTATATCGGAATACTCTGTCCGCCTGCAGTTTGAACTGCGGCAAATCTAATTTCGCAAAGAGCAACTCGAATACGTTAATAGGGTGCGATTCAAAGTTGTACGACCCCCTAATTTTCGACGGCGATACATCCACCGTGAATCTTTTCCGGGCCGCTTTTATCTAAACTCTCGGGACTCGCGACGTAATTCGACATTTCAGAGGCTCGATAATCACTTTGATATTTCCAAGTATTAATTGACTAACTTTCATGCTTTCTAGTACCAAGTTTTCAGGAAATATTACGAGGATGAAGCCAAAGGGACTGTCTTAAATGAGCGATTCAGCTAGACGCTTGCACGCCGCCGAGAAAGGGAAACGGAGCATTGCTCGGACCGACGAGAGCATTGAAATGCAAATGGACGGCTCGTTTCAGCAGCCACACACTTGTCCCGGTGTTCATGCACGAGCGGAGGATTGGGATCGGCGTGCGTCTAGCTGCTCGTCTCACGTGCGACTGGGCAAAGCCCGCTCGTAACGCAGACCTGAGGCGCAGCCGAGTGCAACGTGTATGAAATTGCATTAAGCTATTTCTAACATTATCGCGCGAATACATACGAATTACATGCTCCCTGTTAATAAACAATATTTCCATCGATTACGCTGATGACTATACGGTATCAGATGCCGTTACCGAACGAGAAATTGTTTCGATCAACGAGTTCAATTACTGCGCGATTAGTGCCGAAATGCATTTATGATGCATTTTATTAAAACTGGCTGCCCATTAATTAATGATTATCCGGTACCCTTCTCATACCCTTTGCGGTGCAAATGAAAGCCGACGCAACCGTGGTCAGTCTGTTAACATCGATAATATGTAATTACGTCTATCATCCTGTCTATGGGTACATACATATATACATACATACGTGTGTGTGTGTGTGTGTGTGTGTGTGTGTGTGTGTGCGCGCGCGCGCGCGCGCGCGTGTGTGTGTAAAACGATATTTATATATATAAAGTATATATTGCAGATATCGTTTTTATATAAACGGTACGTTGCTCTCTTGCGTATCGCTTTCATTTATTTGCTATTGTCAGCGTGTATATATAACGGCGGTGTGTACACATACACGAATTGCCACGTAAAAGAGAGAGACGACGTCGTTGACGATCGACTTCAGGATGATTGCTGATCGAATTACCGGGCGG